AACGGGACTGCAACCCTCGGTGTCGCTCCCGCGCCTCGCTCAGCCAGTGAGCGGGAACCGGTCTGTATGTGGGATCCGAACCCTCGGGCGGGAGCGCCGCCGTGCTTCCCAAGCGGCGCACTATCCAGTGCACCACCGGGCCGGCCCCTTTTAGAGAATTTTTATCAATCATCTAAATTACATAAGTAATTAATGCTTGTTATTACAAGGGCAGTAATCCAGAAATATATAAAGAAAAGGTGTTAATCTTCCCAGTGTCCCCCTTCATTCCCTCCCCATGAGATTCCCACCCCATGAGTCGTGTGATCCTACCATATTTTTTCATACTCATAAAAACATACCTTTTCAAGTCTGTGATTTCCAGTTTGTATTATAAGTTCTATTTTCTTTCAGATGCCAAAATCAGAGTAAATTAAGTCCCTAAATCCACAGATCTACCATTTAGTATAACAAAGAATAATTCATGCAGCACCATGTAGACTTAGTACTGCTCATCATAATTAAAATCTGCTGTGTTCAAATGACAAAATTATAGAAATGGAGACAGATTAGTGGTTGCCAGGGGCTAAGAAGGGGAGAGCAGGGAGGAAAGTAGATGTGGCTATGAAAAGGCAATAGTGGGGATCCATGTGGTGATGGACTTGTTCTGCATCTTGATTGTATCAGTGTCAATAATCTGGTTCTGATATTGTATTACAGTTTTATAATGTGTTACCATTGAGGGAATTGAGTTACTGGTACCTGGAATCACTGTATTATTTCTCACAACTGCATGTGAATCTACGATTATCTCAAAATTGAAAGTTTAATTTTAAAAAAATCTGTTACATTGTTCAATAATACAGTGAACTTTTCAAAAGGAGAGAACAGAACTGAGGTTACCAGAGGGAAAGGGGGAGGAGGAGAGGGATTTAGTGAAAAATTGGTAAAGGGCCACAAAAAATGATTACATTGTGTAATGTTGAATATACTAATTATCCTGATTTGAGCTTCACATATTGCACACAGGTATTGATATTCAACACAGTACCCCATAGTTATGTACAATCAATTATGTTTCAATTAAAAAAATTAAAGAAAAAAACAATAAAATGTGTTGTGTTCAATTACTTAGTGCTGATTTCTTAGAATTCCAGAGAATGGAATCATTCTGCAATTTTCATGTTTGTTTATAATCTTTTTTTTTCCCCTAGACTAATATACAGTTAATTCCCTGGGTTGAAGAGATACCACTGAACTATGACGTATACCCACAGAAGGATATCGACAGAGGAACTCTTGAACAAATTCATTTATATAAGATTCTCTAGCACTAAAATAGTTGTAATGTTATGTTGAATACATAAAATAATGAAAAAGAAACATAACCCTGATATACTAACACATGTTTTTCTGTATACTCCCTTCTAATCTTTGTACATATGATTACATATTTGTAAATAGTTGTGTGTGTGTATAAAACTTTGTTCTGCTTTGTATGATAATATAATTAAGACATCTGAAACTTTTTGCTTCTCTCCGGTTTCTTTTATTCTGTTAAAAATGTAAATGTGTGCCTGTCTTTAGTCACTAATTCTGTATGCCAAGTCTATATATGACCAAAAAAAAAGACTAGAAGTAGCTTCTGTCATGAGAGAACGGTGGAGGGGAACGGTAGGTTATATCATACCCATTTATTATATCTCTATTATGTAAGATTCTTTGTACACAGCTTTATCTGAAGAGCCAACCATAAGACTAAAATAAATAATTGCAGTTTCTAGAAAAAAATAAAACCAGAAGGAAAGCCTCCAAAATGTATATAGAGATTATATCTAGGTGGAGCAATTACCAGTGATTTTTTTGTACTATCCTGTTTTTCGTTTTTTAAATAATGACTGTATTTCTTTTGAAATCAGGAAAAGCAAAACTTTTTTTCAAGCATGCAAGGGAACATCAAAATTTGAACACTTAACTAGTTCCATTACTCTCATATTTAGTTTTATATTTAAATTATTTTTTGAAACTAAACTAACATACATTTTGGAATTGCAGTATCTTTTGGAATCTATCTTTTGAAGGGGATTTATGTAATACGTTTTTCATCATCATACTTATGAAAAAGAATTTGCAGTGGCAGTCAATTCTAATTTTTAAAAGGAAATTATTGGTCAGCAGCTAAACAAAATGCTAAAAATAAGAGAAGTTTGTACCCTATATTACTGTTGATACTAATAGGTTTAGTATTCAGTATCTGGTATAAAATCGAATATCAGAATAAAGGCTGGAATTCTAATAGTTTCTTGTTCACATAGGCATATTGATTCCTGCTAATCTATTAAATATTCTTACCATAGTCACCCAAAAAGAAGATAAAGCAGAATTAGGAAGTCAGTATCAACTGCTGGCATCTCTCAGTAACAACTGACGGATGTTTCTAGGAAACTGTGCAGATTTTCTGAGATTTTGGAAACAGATTTAAAGAGAAGAAAAATAAATTTAAAATATTTTAAAATAGTTTGTTGCTGGTATTAATATGATTATGCATAATTCAATGTATTTATTGGTTTGTTATATTTACACACTTAGATTTCAAACACAAACAGTACCACCTATAGCATATATTGAGAGCATTATATAAGATACAAATAATTATGAAAAAATGAGTATTAGCAATACGACATATAATTACAAACAGACAGCATTCACTATGTGCCTGTTCTTAGGAAGAAGTGTATTTCCTAAACTCTGAATCTCAATTACCCTAGTGTTTATTTGACTGCCCTTCAGAAGCATGAACCTCCAAAGCAAACTTTGCTGTTATGGTGGTGGGTGAATGCCAGAACTCCCATTCTAGAATGCCCTGAACAGGACAGAAAGAGAAATAACACTAGCAACACCCTGGACCTTTAGAGGAGAAGTTTATTTGGAAACGTAGTTTCAAATCATTTAGTCCCTCATCTGTAAAATAAACATATTCAGCTATCTATTTAGCTATTATTAATGGGTTATAATCAAGAGTACAGATTATAGGTGGTTTCCATAGATATGTGATTAAAATTACAGAAAAAAAATGGACAATTGGGGGGCCAGCCCGGTGGCGCACTGCTACAGTGCGCCACTTGGGAGCGTGGCGGCGCTCCCGCCGAGGGTTCAGATCCCACATACAGACCGGTTCCCGCTCACTGGCTGAGTGA